CTGGGCTGGATTCGAACCCGCCACCTTAGGTGTATGTGGCTGGTGCCTTAGCCACTTGAGCCACAGATGCCGAGCCGGAAATCTGGAAATTAAACAAAAACTCTGGTTCTCCCTGCAAAAGTAGTGGTCCTCAGACTTCAGTGTGCACCCAGATCACTTATTAAAACTCAGATTGCTGGAACCCTACCCCTGGAGTTTCTGATTTAGTGGTTTCTGGGGAGGGGTTGAGAATTTGTCCTTCCAGCAAGTTTCCATTGATGGTGATGCTGGTGGCTATTGTTCAGGGATCACACTTTGAGAAACCCTTCCCTACAGAAACTACCACACACGATTCAGCAACTCTACTGGGGACTGGGAGGTCAGAGTCTTTAAGGACTGGAGCTGGCTTGATCAGTGGGAGGTTGTGAGGGTGGAGGACCTCTAAAAGGAGGGTGGGCTACAGGCTGGGCTTCAGACTCACTGCCTTAGGGAAGGAAACCAAATACCAAGTCCGTAGAGTAGATTTAGTAGAATGCAAAAGTCTCACCGATGGAAGGGCCAGGAAGAGCCGCCTGGCTCCTAGGAAAAGCCTGGGGGCAGGGAACTCTTCCTGCCCACTTTGAGAGTGAGGAGTCAGGGGAACTTTCTTCTGGGAGGCTCTTGGGGGCACATTTAGAGTTGGAGTTAGCTTGTAAGTGGCCACCTTTCTACTGGAAGATCTGAGTAGTCTTGACTTGTCCCAGCCCGGTTTGGAAGGTGGTGGGGGATTGGGGTGGGGCTGGTCTTTCTTCGCCTGATACTTACATTTGGTTGTGAGTACAGTGGTGGGGCCTGTTTCTCTGCTCCTAGTCTCTAAAGAGGAGCCTGTTCAGTTTGTTACGGGAAAACTGTGAGACAGGCAGCCCTGAGGGGCTGCCGGAAACACTGGGTGCTATTAGGCCAGAAGCCAGGAGAAAGAAGCCTTTCTTAGACACAACCAGGTGTTCTGTGTCTGGAGGGGTATGACAGCCTCTTGTGTCCATGTGTAACCTGGCTTCTTTTCTTGCCAGGCTCCAGTCTGTTCTCTACACTGCAGCTAGACTAGTATATAAGACACATACGTCTGATCAGGTCTCCTCCAAAAATGGTCCCCACTGCCCTCTGGATAAAGTCCAGCCACCTTCATGACACTTACAGAGCTGTTCCTGCCAACCTTGTTAGCTAGTTTTTCTCTGCCCTGGGGTGTCCTTTCATGGGCTCCCTAGCCACACTGGACTCTGAGGGTTTTTTTTGAGACAGAGCCTCAAGCTGTTACCCTTCGTAGAGACTGTGGCATCACAGCTCACAGCAATCTCCAACTCCTGGGCTTAAATGATTCTCCTGTCTCCGCCTCCCAAGTAGCTAGGACCACAGGTGCCCGCCACAACACCCGGCTATTTCTTTGGTTGCAGCCGTCATTGTTGTTTGGCAGCCCAGGCTGGATTCGAACCTGCCAGCTCAGGTGTATGTGGCTGGTGCCTTAGCTGCTTGAGCCACAGGTGCCGAGCCATGGACTCTGAGTTCTTTTTTTTTTTTTTTTTTTTTTTTTTAGACAGAGCCTCAAGCTGTCCCCCTGGGTAGAGTCTGTGGCATCACAGCTCACAGCAACCTCCAGCTCCTGGGCTCAAGCGAGTCTCCTGCCTCTGCCTCCCAAGTAGCTGGGACCACAGGCGCCCGCCACAACTCCCGGCTATTTTTTGGTTGCAGCCGTCATTGTTGTTTGGCAGGTCCGGGCTGGGGATTCGAACCCGCCACCTTAGGTGTACGTGGCTGGCGCCTTAGCCGGTTGAGCTATAGGCGCCGAGCCGGACTCTGAGTTCTTAACAAGTGTCATCTTCATTGAGTCTCCAAATGAAGCTGCATCTTCATGGAACATTCCACCCTCGTGCCCCTACCCCCCAATATGCTGCAGGTCTCAGCTAAAGTAATAACTTCTTTTGGGAGCCTCCCCGACCTCTGACCCTGGGTCTGATTGCCCTGCTGTGTTCTCCGTAGCTTCTTGCGCTCAGTCTTGTCAATGTCTATGGTGGATGGTGCAGATTGGCTTGTCACTGGGCATCCCTGCCAAGAGAATGAGTGATTTATTCTTGATGTCCTGGCTAGTTTGATTGATATTAATGTTAACTAATAATTTTAATACTAATTATTTTTTTGTAATTTTTTTTTTTTTTTTAAGGAACAGGGTCTTGCTCTGTCGCCTGGGGGAATTGTAGCACAATCAAAGCTCACTGGGACCTCAAACTCCTGGGCTCCAGCAGTCCTCCCTCCTCGGCCTCCCAAACTACTGGGATTACAGGTATGAGCCACTGTGTTTGGCCTATAGTGTCTCCTTCTGGTAATAAATTATGGTCCAGCTTACTAAAAGTAGAGAACCAAAAACTATGCATTCTGGATACTCTTGTACTGAAATTCTCCATGATTTAGGTTCTCCCACTTAGATGCATTTGGACTTGTAACAGTCCTATAGGAAGAGGCGAGGCAGCATCTTCCTCAGGATGGGCACTGAGAGGTCCATCTTGCCTCAGTCATGGATCATGGGAAGGGCACAATTCTGGAGCAGACAACTTCTTTTTCATATTATTTATTTATTTATTTATTTATTTTGAGACAGAGCCTCAAGCTGTCACCCTGGGTAGCGTGCTGTGGCATCACAGCTCACAGCAACCTCCAACTCCTGGGCTCAAGGATTCTCCTGCCTCAGCCTCCCAAGTAGCTGGGATTACAGGTGCCTGCCACAACGCCTGGCTATTTTGTTGTTGTTGTTGTTACTGTTGTAGTTGTTTAGCAGGCCCTGCCTAGGTTTGAACCTGCCTGCCCTTGTGTGTGTGGCTGGTGCCCTAACCACTGACCTATAGGCACCGAGCCTCTAAGCCATTTAATATTCTGTACAAAATCTTTTGCTGCTTAAATTGCTCAATTGAACCCTAACCTGTACATCACCTTTGTCATCATTGTTCTGGTAGGTTTCTTGTTGACTTGTTTGCTTTCCCTACTGTGCAAGGGTAGGTACTAGGTGTATCCTTTGCAACCCCAATACCTGGCATAATAACTGGCCCGTTACTGGTGGACAGTGAATATTTGTTCAGTGAACTCATGGAGTGAGTTTTAAAAGCATGGTAGGTGTAAGCTCACTTTTAGTTCAGTTAATAGAAATGGAATTCAAGGTAAGGGGGTTGTTTGGGCAAGAGAAGAAGAGAGTGATATGTGGTGATGACAGCTGACTTCAGATGGCCTGGATTGTACTTGGTCTGTGGTCATGGGACGATAGACTGTCTGTGGAAGGAGGAACTGAGCTTCCCGCTCTTCATCAGGCTGTAGGGCACAGGCAGAGAACAGTTCGAAGGAAGGTGGTTGACTTTCTCTTCTTCTAGGCCTCTGTGTGCCCAGCACTGTGCCTGGCACTGTGGTAGGGGAAGCAGAGAGATGAAGGGTTAGAAGAAATGGCAGGCAAGCCATGCCTTCCTGCCTTCAAGCCACAAAAATCTATATTGGAAGGCTCCCTGGGAGACTAGGTGATTAATTAGGCATCCAATTAGAGATGGAGCAAAGTGCTGAAATAGTGGTCTAAGAAGGCTTCCTAGAAGAGGAGGTGATTGAGCTGACCTGAGAGTAAGCAGAATCCTTGGCTATGTGAGGGTATTGACCTGAGGACTTGGAAGACTGGGAACTAGGGAGTAGCTGACCTCAAGTGCTGTGCTGTGCTGTGCTGTACGTGTCCTTTAAGCTCTGTCTTATTTATCAGAGTGCCCCTGTGCGCTTGGTGGGATCACAGTTTAATTGTGCTGGGCACACAGGGGAAGTTAGTGGCAGGCCCCAGTTGAACTCAGGTCTGTTTGCCGTGTCATTCTGTCTGATGGTTTAGCCACTACATCATGCTTTTTATTTATTTATTTATTTATTTACTTGACTATGAATGACAAGTCAGGGAGTTTTGCTCAAGTGGGTGACGTAAGTGGTGAGTTGTGAGTACCACGTTTCCTAAGCCACATGCCGGGCCCCGTGGTCTGATGAACAGGAGTACACTTGGACAACAGGTCAACATTTTGCAATTGAGTCTGGGAAATGTTGATGGCAAATGATGAGAATAGAGGTGACTTTGCCCTGGCCACGGGTTGGGGAGAGTCCCGGGAGGGGGGGCCCTGGCTGGCTCTGTGGGCCCTTTCCTGCTCTCCTGTTTTCGCCTGCCTGACTCAGTCCATTTTGGGAGCACTTTCTGCTTAGTCAAGCTCAGGCTTAGCTTGGCAGGGCTGCAGCTGGGGAGCCTGGCAAATAGGCTCCCTCCCTCCTCCTTCTGGCCCTGGCTCCTGGGCTTGGCTGTCATTACACTCACAGCGAGGGGCTAAATAAGCTATTCTGCCTGTCTGCTGGCTGCCCTGTGCTCTCACCACAGTCTCTGCCCTCCTCACCTCCTCCCACAGATGCTGACACACACACACACACACACACACACACACACTCTATGGGGGCTCAGTAAATATTAGTTGGTGAGCAGCAGACTACTGGTTCTAATTTTGTTCCCTGCTTCTGGGTCATCACTGATTTTTGTTTTTCCTAAGTTTTCCCATCCTGGCCCTCCCAGCAGCGTGAGGTTTCATGGGGAGAGAGTAGGCTCTGCCGGCCTCCTGCACTCACTGGAGAAATCTTCTACCTTGGGTGGCCTTTGGCTGTGCCAAAACTTGAGAGTGGGAGCCGGGAGCTGAGAACACATCCTTTTAGGGAATGGAAGAGAACGGTTAGATGGGAAGGTGTGAGGAAGCAGAGCATTGGGCCGACTGAGCTGCACAAGGCCAAGCAAGAATCGGTTTCCCGGCTGTAACATTTGCTCTTTTCTGGGATGACCTGTCCAGCTTAGGATGGCTTGCCCTAGGGGAGAGTGGCCTCATGGGCAATGTTCATTTGGTGGGTGGAGGGGGGCCACGGGCTGGGTGGTTTTTCTCAAAGCTCTTTGAACCTCAGAGAAGCCTCCAAGCTGAGAGCTGAGACTACTGGTTTTCCAATTGCTTATACTGGGACTTAAACAGACGCCTGTATCATTGTTAGTTTGACCACAAATATTGAGATTAAGTACTCAAGGTTAAGTACTTGCAGAACACTTACTTGGCAGTTTTTGTATTTTCTCCTGTGGGCTTCTGGTTTTGTGCCACACTTATTCCTTGATTAAAAAAAAAAAGTCACCCATATTTTCTTATACCCCTGTCACTGACTGGGACGCATAAATAGGTTGACATTAAAACAACCCAAAACACTCCAAAGGCCACTCAGAAACAGCTGTCACTAATTCCAGGTGGACAATATCCCAGGTGTTATCCAGCTATGCTTGCAGATAAACAGATACAGAGAAATGGATGTAAATAGAAAAAAGTATGGACATTTTCCTGAATGTAACAGAAGAAAAATAAACCGCCGTAAAATTAATTAGTACGCGTTAAAGGAAACGTGTTTTTTCATAACAGATAATTTCCTATGAGACCCCAGTAAAGAAAATAGCTTGTGAGTCATATTTGTAATTACTTGTTTCCATTTGAGACAGTATCTATTGATTCTTTGCTATAAAAAATGAGGACATTAGAATTTTCACATTTTTTCCTGATCTCCTTTTCCCTTCTATGCTGATGGTATTAATTATATTATTAAGTTCTTTTTTTTTTGGGGGGGACAGTGTCTCACTCTGTCACCCTGAGTAGAGTGCTGTGGTATCATAGCTTACAGCAACCTCAGACTCTTGCCTCAGCCTCCTGAGTAGCTGAGACTCCAGGTGTTTGCCACCATACCTGGCTAGTTTTTCTGTTTTTAGTAAAGACAGGGTCTTCCTTTTACTCTGGCTGGCCTTGAACTCCTGAGCTCAAGTGATCCATAGGCCTCAGCCCCCTGGAGTGCTAGGATTACAGGCATGAGCCACCACTCCTAGCCTAAATTGTCCTTTTCTTTTTTTAGTTGTCAGTTTTTTTATAACGTTCAGACTATGTCCTCTGTCTAATCCCATAATTACTTTTTTATTATTTCTTTTTCTTTTTGCAGTTTGGGCCAGGGCTGGGCTCAAACCCACCACCCACAGTATATGGGGCTGGCACCCTACTCCTTGAGCCACAGGCACCACCCCTACTATTTCTTACTTAAAAAGTTTTAATGCTTAATCATTAGTCTTCATTTAAAAAAATAATAATTTTATTATTACTTTTTTTTTTTAGGAGAGAGAGTCTCGCTTTGTTACCCTTGGTAGAGTGCTGTTGCCTCACAGCTCATAGCAACTTCCAGCTCTTGGGCTTAGGAGATTCTCTTGCCTCAGCCTCCCCAGTAGCTGGGACTGCAGGCACCTGCCACAACACCTGGCTCTTTTTTTGTTGCAGTTTGACAGGGCTGGGTTTGAACCCCTACTCTTGGTATATGGGGCCGGTGCCCTGCTCACTGAGCCACAGGCACCGCCCAGTATCTCTGTTTTAAATGACTGGCAAAGTTTTGTTCATTATCCATTGTAATTTATTTATTAGTTTTTCTTTTCTTTCTTTTTTTTTTGAGACAGAGCCTTAAGCTGTTGCCTTCCGTAGAGTGCTGTGGCATTGCAGCTCACATCAACCTCCAACTCCTGGGCTCAAGCAATTCTCCTGTCTCCGCCTCCCAAGTAGCTGGGACTACAGGGCCTGCCACAATGCCCCGCTATTTTTTTGGTTGCAGCTGTCGTTTTTATTTGGCGGGCCCGGGCTGGTTTTGAACCTTCCAGCTCAGGTGTATGTGGCTGGCGCCTTAGCCGCTTGAGCCACAAGTGCCGAGTCTATTTATTAGTTTTTCACTGTTTTCTTCCTCTTGATGTAAGCCTACATCTCTTTTTATCTCATTTTGTTTTATAGTCTCATCTTTGAGCTCTTGTTTCATCAAATTCATGTTCTGATTAAGTCATTTCTAGGTGTGAAGCAGTTACGAGGACTTAACTTTCTCTGGAGTTGTGTTTTAGTTTATTAGTTTGACATCTTTGTGTTTTGCTTGGTTTGCCTGCTCTTTAATTCTCATGAGTTCATGCTCTTGCTATTCAGCTCAGTTGTTCTCTTGGCTCTAAAATAAGAGAGTAACTTTCCTTTCGCCAGTGAGGCTGATCTGTCCTCCCCACATCAACACTAGGAGTGAGTGCTAAGGGCAGGGCACTGGTAGTCTGTGCCTTGTAGCCTAAATGAAAAGGCGAATGGGGAGCTGGACCTGTCCTCGGTGCAGAAGTTAGTTAATGGTGCCTGCCGCGGGCTTCAGCCCACTTGTTTGGAGGTGTGCTCCATTTCTGTTGGAGGGGAAGGAGTAGTCCTTGGACTT